TGGTAGCCCCGCCCTGGTGACTCCTTGAGGCCCCGCCCCACCCAACCTTCAGGCCCACCCAAGCTGTTGCCAGTTGCTTAACCATAGGATTGACCTGTCTTGGATCCTGCTTCAGGTTTTCCTAAATTCTTTCAAACAAGCAGCATCTGGTCTCAGATAGCCCCATACCTCTCATTAAGTAATACACAGAAACAAACACAGGGAGGCAGCCAAAATGAGGAGACAAAGAAACAGGTCCCAAGTGAATGAACAGAACAAAACCCCAGGAAAAGAACTAAGTGAAATGGAGATAAGCAACCTAACAGATGCTGAGTTCAAAATACTGCTTATAAGGATGCTCAGTGAACTCAGTGAGGGCCTCAAGAGCATCAAAAAGGACCAGTCAGAAATGATGGATGCACAGTCAGAAATGAAGGAGGCATTAACTGAAATAAAGAATAATTTACACAGATTCAATAGTAGAGTAGGTAAAGCCAAGAAGCAAACCATCGATTTGGAATATAAGGAAGCAAAAATCACCCAATCAGAACAAACAAACAAAAAAAGAATCCAAAAAAATGAAGATAGTGTAAGGAGCCTCTGGGACAACGTCAAGCATGCCAATATTCCCATCTTGGGGGTGCCAGAAGGAGAAGAGAGAGAACAAAAAATTGAAAACCTATTTGAAACAATAATGACAGAAAACTTACCTAACTTGGTGAAGGAAACAGACATACAAGTCCAGGAAGCACAGAGAGTCCCAAACAAGATGAACCCCAAGAGGCCCACACCAAGACACATCATCATCAGAATGCAAAAGGTTCAAGACAAAGAGAGAATCTTAAAAGCAGCAAGAGAAAAGCAGTTAGTTACCTACAAGGGAGTTCCCATAAGACTGTCAGCTGATTTCTCAAAAGAAACTTTGCAGGCCAGAAGGGAGTGGCAAGAAATATTCAGAGTGATGAAAAGCAAGAACCTACACCCAAGATTACTCTATCCTGCAAAGCTGTCATTTAGAATCGATGGCCATATAAAGTGTTTCCCAGACAAGCAGAAGTTAAAGGAGTTCATCACCACCAAACCGTTATTATATGAAATGTTGAAGGGTCTTTTTGAAGAAAAAGATAAAATATATGAACAAACAAAATGGCAATGAATACATATCTATTGGCAATGGAATCTACAAACAAAATGAACAGGCAGAGCAGAAACATTCTCATAGGTACAGAGAACATTTTGTTGGTTGCCAGATGGAAGAGGGGATGGGGGAATGGGTCAAAAAGGTGAAGGGATTAAGAAGTACAAATTCATTGCTAGACTGACAAACCTCAAAGGGAAAGGGGTTGGGGGGTGGGAAGAAATAAACCAAAGAACTTATATGCATAACCAATGGACACAGACAATAGTGTGGGAAAAGGTGGGAGGGGGGCGGGAGTGGGAAGGAGGGGGTCAATGGGGGAAAAATAAGGAACATCTGTAATACGTTCAACAATAAAGATTAAAAAAAAGAAAAAAAAATCCAAAACACTAATTTGAGAAGATATATGCAGCCCTATGTTCACTGCAGCCTTATGTACAATAGCTAAGATATAGAAGCAACCTAAGTGTCCATTGATAGACAAATGGTTAAAGAATATATGGTACACATATGCAATGGAATATTACTGGGCCATAAAAAAGAATGAAATCTTACCATTTGCAACAACATGGATGGATCTTGAGGGTATTATGCTATTTGAAATAAAACAGATAGATAAAGACAAATACTGTATGATTTCTGTTATATGTGGAATCTAAAAAAAAACAAAACAAACGAACAAAGAAAACAAAAATAGACTTATGCAACAGGCACCAAAGGAATGGTTGCCAGTGGGGAGCAGGCGAGGGGAATGGGTGAAAAAGGTGAGAAAATTAAGAAGTACAAATTGGGTCGTGGCTGGTTTGGCTCAGTGGCTGGAGTGTTGGCCCACAGACCGAAGGGTTGTGGGTTAGATTCCTGGTCAAGAGCACGTACCTGGGTTGTGGGTTCGATACCCAGCCCTGGTTGGGGTCATACAGGAGGCAACCAATCGATGAGTCTCTCTCTCATCTCATATCAGTGTTTCACTCCCCACTCCCCCTTCCACTCAACGGAAAAATCTCCTCAGGTGAGGACTAATAACAAAATAGTCATGGGGGTGTAAAGTACAGCATAGGGAATATAGTTAATAATATCATAATAACTATATAAGGTGCCAGGTGGGCACTGGCCTTATTGGAAGATGACTTTCGTAAGTTATATAAATGCCGAATCACTATGCTGTACACATGAAACTAATATAATATTCCATGTCAATTATAATTCAAATATTTGTAAGAAACAGAAAAGTGATTCATGAAAATGTTTTTGGAAGTACTACAGGTTAAATTTATTTGAATAGCTTATATATGTATTTAATTTTATATTCATATAATCATTAAGGACTGGATACTTCATTTTCATTAACTTTGCAACATCTCATGGAAGACATTAGATGATGGTGTATTATTTGTAAATTTGGAGAATCTCAAGGATCTGTGGATTTTTTCAGAATGTCAACCATCTGTCTTAACTATTTAATCATCTTCAATACAACAGAAAACAAAAGTAGAAAGACAAGTTATTTGAATCATAAAGCAAACGTGTTTGTGATCTACAGGAACAAATAAACACCATTCTCTTAATTATTCAAATATTTGGACTTTTTTCCTTCTATACTTGGGAGATCTTCTAAAATACCAGTAATAGTATTTAATTATAGTGATTTATAGGTACTTTCATAAAAAACACCAATCCATTGTATTAAGACTGCAAATACCCAAATACAATTAAATATATATCACAGTGTATAATGACTTCATGTTTATACACTAGGACCCCTATGTGAAATCTTGCAGTGAGCTGAAAAACAAAGTCTACGAACCAAAGTAGGAATGAATTCCTTAACCACATATGACATCTGGCTAGTTAACAGTTTTAAAACATCTGGTTTTTCTGCATTGTTAGATTTCTGAAAAACTTTTTTTTTTTTAATCCTCACCCGAGGACATTTTTCCATTTTTTGCTCAGATAGAGTGGGGAGGGACAGAGAGAGAAAGAAACATCGATGTGAAAGGGACACATCGAGTGGCTGCTACCCACACGACCCAACCAGGGCCGGGGACAAATTGTAACCGAGGTACGTGCCCTTAGCGGGAACTGAACCCGGGTCTCTCTGGACCGCAGGCCGACGCTCTAACCGCTGAGCCAAACTGGCCAGGGCTGAAAAACTCTTTAAGTAATTAAATGCATTACATGTATGGCATGTTCCATGCTCTTTTGAGGTTGAATGTGTTAAAAATGGTAGCTGGTGGCTCTAATATCATTACAGGATGTACCTTCCTAGAATTATAAAGTGTATCTCAGTCATATCACTGGCTATTTTGTAAACCCTGACGAAGGAAATTATTATATGTACCATAACTATGTAAAATTAAGAATATTGAGATTATAAATTTGCCTTTTGATGATAGGATTTTTTGTTTTTAAAAACTGAAATCTGTGCCCTGGCTGGTTTGGCTCAGCGGTTAGAGCGTTGGCCTGCAGTCCAGAGAGACCCGGGTTCGGTTCCCGCTAAGGGCACATATGTTGGCTGCAGTTTGCCCCCGGCCCTGGTTGGGTCGTGCAGGTGGCAGCCACTCGATGTGTCCCTTTCACATCGATGTTTCTCTCTCTCTTCCTCTCTCTCCTTCCCACTCTATCCGAACAAAAAATGGAAAAAGATGTCCTCGGGTGAGGATAAAAAATAAAAAAAATAAAAAAAAACTGAAATCTGTGACCCTTGCTGGTGTAGCTCAATTGGTTGGAGTGTCATCCTGTACACCAAAAGGTCGTGGGTATGATTCCCAATCAGGGCACACACCAAGGTTTCGGGTTCGATCCCCAGTCAGGGCAAATACAGCAGAAATATTGATGTTTCTCTCTCACACTGATGTGTCTCTCTACTTCTCCCCTCTTCCGCCTTCCCTCTCTCTTCCTTTTTCTCTAAAATCAATAAAAGCATGTCTTTGGGTGAGGATTAAAAACCAAACCAAACCAAAACAAAACAAAACTGAAATTTGTGTAACTTTGACTGCTTTGAAGTCAAGGACTGTGTAATTCTACTTCTTTGAATTTCCAGCACCTGGTTCAGTATATAATCAGAGCTCAGTAAGATATCACTGTTCTAAGGTCTTTTACATTTTTTTTGCAGTAGACACAAGCTGGTTCTACTGTACCACCTGGGATGGGGATGCAGGTGGGGGCAGAAGGGAAGGGCAGATGCAACCAAAAAGCCTCAACAATGTGAGTAGTTTTCTTTCGTAAGCTGGGTCGTAGGTACAAAAGTGTTCATTATATGCATTATATGATTTTTTTCTTTTTTCTTTTTTTTTATCCTCACCCGAGGACACTTTTTCATTCTTTGTTCAGATAGAGCAGGAGGGAGAGAGAGAGAGAGAAACATCGATGTGAAAGGGACACATCGAGTGGCTGCCACCCACACGACCAACCAGGGCCGGGGACAAACTGCAACCGAGGTACGTGTCCTTAGTGGGAACCAAACCTGGGTCTCTCCGGACGGCAGGCCGACGCTCTAACCGCTGAGCCAAACCGGCCAGGGCTGATTTATTTTCTTATACCCCTTTGCATAATTCATTTTTTAAAAGAAAAAAGTAAAAATTAAGTATAATATTGAAAGTTTTATTTTGCTTCATATACTGACAAATACCAGACAATTTACTTCAATATACTTTACACCAAAGGTGCGGAGAGAAATGTCTCATCATTCAGACTTAAGTGTTGGGAAAGCCTAACAAAAGTAGAAATTAACCTCTCTGCCATCTCTGATGGTTCTTCTCAAAAGTGTGTGCGAGAAATTAAACATTGCTTTTAATTGCAAGTGGCATTTTAGCAGAATATGACTGGTGTTAACTGCAGCAACACACCATGCCTTCAAGCGTAACTCTCCCGCTGAGTAAATTACCTCAATTTCCTGTAGCTGCTCCTGATTGGTCGTGTACATCTGCTGAAGAGAATCCTCCAACTCTGTGTTCCGATCCAGTAGTGTCTTCCCAAGCTCAGCAGCAAGTTGGAGATCTAGCACAACAAGTGAATAACACAAATGATCTCAGTCAACATTTTATATAACCCAGTCCTTAAAATGAACCAAGACCAAACCCAACACAGAAAGTTTAAGTCAGATCCCTGTAGAAGGTGGAATGATCTAGAAGGAAACCTGAGTCCAAGTTAAGATCCTGTTGAACTGGGGCCCTCTACTTGTAATATGCTCCCTTATGCACCCCTAATGTAAGATATTAAGAAGACCATCTACTTTATGGAGATATACTCATTAGTCTAGGAATGATCATTCAGCATTGTGACTTCTAAGATCATAATTATTTGCTAATGGACTGGATTTATTCACATCCTGATTATCTACTTTGGACAGAGCCTCAACCAAAGTACAAGCAGATATTTAAATAGTCTCTAAAGTTCCTATGAAATCTGGCTGCTGTAAATGTGAATTTTATCATCTGCAACTGTGAAAGCAAAGTTTATTGTTACAGATCCTGGCCTCCAAAGGGGACTAAAAATTATTAAGTAAAAAAAAAAAGGAAGGGTACATCAATAATATGAACATTGCCCCAGGTCTCCCATTTTTTCTCCTCTTCTTCATGTCCTTCTCCAAGATGGACAAACCAGACAAGCAGCATAGCAGTTCTAATTCATGTCAGTAGCTCATGCAGTACTTTGATTTAGCACAGAACCATATTTCTATTTTAAACCTCATTTTTCAACTCTCCTCTTAGACAGAAATGCATATTAAGACAGGAGTTGTTGGTATTATACACAATCCCAGAAATAAAAATTAAACGATACCGTAACGGACACTAGTTCTAACATAGTTAACTGAAGTAACTATCTGTATGGTAAACTTCATTAGAGAGGTCCTTTAATAGTCGGAAATGCACTCGACTGAGTAGGAAGGTCTGAGGTCCTGTGCTGACTAGCATTTACCAGGCTAACCATTCAGTGTGGGGCTTTAAAGGGCCCTTCACTTAGTATTCTTGTCCAGAGACAATATAATTGTGAAATCAAGTGAAATGCACAGAAGTACTATACAAACTAAGCTGCAATACAAAGGCTACTACAGTAACACTATTATTGACCCACAAATGAATGTGTTTATTGCTGGGCACTTCTCTAAGCTTTAGCTACAAATGGTAAGGACAATGAAGTTCCTGCTTCTCTAGATTAATGGAGGAAGCAAGACAAGTAGATGAACGTTCAAACTGTGATAAACACTCCTCATTCATACTTGCATACATACCTTCAGTAATGCCAGTGAGAAACAGAGTGAGGAAGTGCACTACCACCAAGCTGCTAAATTACTACAATCAAGTAGGCTGAAGCGTGAGGAAACGATACTATTTTTGTTTTAACCAGCCTGGGAATTTACACTTGCGAACTTTCCAATCCTGTATCAGTGCCTAGATGTACATCAAATCTCCAGTATTGTCCCTGCAGGACTAAGGAAACAATGTTCATGTATCCAATCTAGTGGCTCAGAAATCAGGACTGATTTTTCTCAAGAATGTATGTTTTACTATAAGAACTCTTAGCTTTTTTTTTTAAATCTTTGCAATACTCTAGGTATTGCCTAGTTGTGTTTATGGTTTGCAAACCCTAAGTGATTTGAATAAATCCTCACCATTTATTTCTAGCAATGCCTCTATACTCTTTTTGAGTTTGTTTGACACCATATACCATTCTGGATACTGGGGATATAAGAATGAATTTAGCTAAAATTGGAGCTTATATTCTATTGGGAGAAACAGCATGATAAAATATATGATAGCAGGAAGTGCTAAAGGAAAAAAATAAAGCAAGCAAGGAAGGGGAATAGGAAGAGTATGGATGTGAGAGATTGAAATGTAATAATGTGACAGGGTGACAGGATTAAGATATGAAGTAACAGAATACATGGTCATGTAGATCTATCGAGGTGGCCAACATACCAGGCAGAGGCAAAACAAGTATAAAAACCCTGGGAGGAAGCATCACTAGAGCTAATAAGGAGATCGATGAGGCTGCAGCTAAGGGGTGGGGTGGGGGTGAGTGTGTGTGTGTGTGTGTGTGTGTGTGAGAGAGAGAGAGAGAGAGAGAGAGAGAAAGAAAGAGAGAGAGAGAGAGAGAGAGAGAGAGATCACAGAGCTCCAAGGTTGGCCAGCTTGTGTAGGGTCCAACTAAGGAGGACAAGATTTTGGCTTTATACTGAGTAAAATGTAACTCAGTGACAGGATCACTCTGGCTGCTGTGTAAACAGATGGAAAGGAATAAAGATGGAAGCAAGTAGCAAGTGGATACTGCAATCATCTGGGTGAGAGATGATGGTGGCTTGGACTGGTGTGGTAGAGATGGAGACGGAGGGAAGGGATAGGATTCTGAATATGTTTCGAAAGTAGAGCTAAAAAGATGTGTTAACTCAACTGGACGTGGTGTGGGAGAAAAAAAATGGATTTGGTGATAATAAACAAAGGATCTACTTTAGAAAAGAAGGTCACAAAGAAAGTCACCTTGAGGACATGTTTTAGCTAAAGCTTGAAGGATGAGGTCCTCGCCAGTGAAAGCCAGACAGAGGCACTGCAACAGGAGAGAACGTGGCATATCCTGGACAGAATGCCAGTGTGAAAGCAGCATGAGGGGCCCAGCCGTTGTGGCTCAGTGGTTGAGTGTCGACCCTGCACCAAGAGGTCGCCAGTTCGATTCCCAGTCAGGGCACGTGCCCAGGTTGTGGGCATGATCCCCAGAGGGGCGCATGCAGGAGGCGGCCAGTCGATGTTCTCTCTCATTGATGTTTCTATCTCTCGCTCCCTTTCCCTTCCTCTCTCTAAAATCAATAAGAAAATAAAAATTTTTTAAAAAAAGAAGAAGCATGAGGGGACGAGTGGTCTGAGATGAAGTTGGAGAAGTTGGCAGGGATTGATTATACAAGATCTTATAGGCCATAGTAAAGTTTGACTTTTATTCTAAGTGTGATGAAGCCCGGTTGGTGTGGTTCAGTGGTTGAGTACTGACCCATGCACCAAGAGGATGTCAGTTCGATTCCTGGTCTGGGTGTATGCTCAGGTTGTGGGCCAAATCCCCAGTAGGGGGGCATATAGGAGGTGGCCAATCGATGTTCTCTCTCATCAATGTTTCTATTTCTCTCTCCCTCTCCTTCTAAAATCAATAAAGAAAAAAAAATAAGTATGATGGAAATTTTACGTAATGTCATAAAAATATTTATTATTGAAAGGTATTTATTATAAAAACAGGGAACTGTACTACATGATTTTTAAACTTAATTTTTAGAGGATGACAAATAAGGTTTACATCTATTCATGACTACCAATATTAAAACTCAACCAAGAAAAATTGGTAACAGAAAAGCAATGCATTTTGTCACCTGGTACTGTTCATTCCAGTGCAGAATTAGTGTTTTACCTGGTTGTTTTTCCCTCATTAGGAAAAAAAAAAGCCGCAAAGTCGTGAAATTGACCATACACCACTCCAGCTCATAGTACACATTTTACATTTAAAATAAACTAGTGTACTGTTGGTAGTCGGGTGTTTAAAAACACATTCCCTCATGATTTAAATATTAACAATACCTATTGATGTTCTAAGGACTTCAGATAACAACTCCATGACATAACATCTTGTGTTGACATAGAACCTTTATGAAAAGCTCAAATCATGTAAGAGACACTTCTCTTTATATCTTTTCAAGGTATTTAGCCCAGTTTTTCAGATGAAACAACAGTAAGCACAAAGATGCGAACTGACCTGATGAAATCTACACAGAAGTCACTGGCAAAACAGACACCGCTGCTGTCACCAGGTTCTAACGCTCCCTTGCATCGCATTCTCTGCTTTACTACCCACATCTACACAGCTTCCAGACTACTGACAGGTGTCCACACTCCCTTAAGGTAGAGAGCACACCTTTCCCTAGCTGAGGTACTGAATCTTTTCACTTGTTTCACAGATGGTGATGAGAAACTAGAGTTGAGACACTGGGCTTTCACTGCCTGCTCTGTCAAAGAAAGTATGTACAGCCCTAGGCAAGCTAATATATTGTTTTCACTAAGTGAAAACCGAACTATGTACGGCTAAAGATGTTCCAGAAATAATTATTTTGTACTCACAGGGTATGTAATGTATATACACAGTCCCACATAGAAGCTACTATACTGTATTAAAGACAAAGTCTCTCCTGGCCTGTTTTAATGTGGTAATTCCTCACTGGGAAGGACCAGAGACTCACCAAAGATGTTTTTAACTATCAGTCCATACCTAACTCAAGACTAACTTCAGGTCACGCTTCCTTACTTCCATTCCGTTCTGAGACCAACTATGCTCTTTAATGCACAGCCAGGAGCAGCTCTGCACCGGCTGCTGCAGAAAAGGATGCCAAGTAAGGCACTCTTCCAGTAACAGCAACCAGAAAAGAACTTGAGACCTGTCCTATCTCGGCCTTTATTTCCAGTTAAACAAAGCCCAATTGGGCTCAGTAACCTCAAGTCTCAGTCTCCTACATATTTCATAGGCTGTTTAGGATAGAATTCTGGCAAGACAAGTATCAACTACAAGAAAGCACCTGTGAAGTCACACTGTGTAACAGGATATTACTTCATCTGTTAGTTTAAGGACACGGGTCTTTTTTTGGTCTTGAAAAAAGTTCACATTTCCTGTCATATAGCATATGGCTTCCACAACCAAAAGGAGTCAAAAGCTGGCAGTAAACCCAAGATGGTTTTCTAAATAATCAGTGGGACAAATGGGAGATTATTCAATATTCTTCATCATTGTTTTTAATTAAGGCACAAATGAAAAAGAAACAATCCAGTTTTGAAGTTGTATGCATCTGTTCATCTCTTTTCCAATAAGGTTTTCATTAGGAAGTTGTCTTTTCTAAATCCTACTAAACTGGCCTAGGCAGCACTAAAAATACCACAGATTTACTGCAGGCTTGAGAACCACAACCTAGCAACACCTTCGTATTTAGTATTTTTCACTAATCAGCTTTTGCAAGTGATAATCCACTTTAACACTGTACACTGTTAGCTGTAAACAGACTCCACTCAGCCCTATGCCTTAGGCAGACAAAAAAATTAGCTCTAGCAGCCAGAGTGTATTTTTAAAAGGATCTTTCTTCCAGAATTCAAAAATCTTTAAATTCCACTGCTATTATATTTTTCTTATTTTCCTTAGTTTTTTCAAAACCATATGAGGACAACATATTCCCGTATTAGCTGTGGTCTACAGCAGTAATTCAATAACACTAAGGCTGAAAGCTTTTCCTAGTACAAAGTAAAATGCGTCATTTGGTGATGCGTCTGTGTAACTCCTGTTGCCAGTGGTACTATAATTGGGAAAGCAAAAAACTTGAATATAAACAAGAAAAACGATGATGTCAGTTTTAATGACCCTCCAAACAGTGATTCAGCAAATGAGTTACACACTAGGAAAATGTACTCATCTTGAAAAGAAGTAGGAATCTTAGGATTCCTTTAAACCAAGATTTCATTTGCTGTCCATGCAACAGAAACCTGAATCTTTATTCTAAACTAGCACAGCTCACCAAACTTCAATGGTAATAGCAGCTGGCCTAAAGGAAAAGCCAGTCTCTGAAGTCTTTCCACTTTGCTCTCAGGGGCACATTTCAAACAGAAGGCTCCTGCTGTCCCAGAAAGGATCTTACCCGAAGAGATCACTGTCAGTATTCTTCCTGTGCCAACTCAGCCCTCTGACAAAAGGCAATCTCTTCATCAAAGTGTTTTGTAAAAGCAAAGGTTTTCTCTTTCTGCCTGCACACAGCTTTACATGTTTCTATAAAGGTATGAATAGTAGACCAGAACTTTCCGAGGTTAGATATTTTTCAGCAATTTTAACTTAAAAAAGAAGATCACAGCAAACTTTGACATAAAAAAATTAAATCTACTTAAATAATGCTTCTATTGCTAAAGGAAAACAAAGAAACAGACAAACAAACTTGTACAGCTCTCTCCCAACAAGGCTTGCTCAGTACAGTTAATGCAGGCAAACCTCAAAAGATATTGTGGGTTTGGCTCTAGACCACTGTAATAAAGCGAGTATTACAATAAAGCAAGTCATAATCTTTTTGCTGGTGGAGGGTCTTGCCTTCCATTTGCAATAAAAAATGTAACACCTGTGTAATGCAATGAAGTGAAGTGTGATAAAACAAGGTCTGCCAGTAGTGAGGATGTTAACAAATGAACAGACAAATGTCTGCACTTGATAAAATCCCACTACATTTGCTTATCAATCTGTTTAACAGGACAGACCTGATGTGCCTGCAGCCTTCATTCTTTTACAGGTCATATGCATAAGTTATGATTGCTGGAATTTCACATCTATTCTTACCCCACACACTTGGTTATGACATACAGGGTTATGTCAAAGTCCACTGTGATAATGGATGCAAAAGTCCTTTGAGAAGCACAGAACAAATTCCAAATGCAAACTGGCATTAAGGAGGTTCGACCTGTGTTCTTTAAGGTTTCATTAACTTGAACACCTGATGATTTCCTTCTTCTCAGAGGTTAAAGAGTTCTACATATAACCCCAACAAGTTGTGTTTGCTTCTCAAACAGACTGAATATTACAAATAGTTGTTCCTAAAACCTCCCGAAGGAGAAAGTGCAGTGTGGCCTACGGTACCTGAAAGAAGAGAGCCATGAAAACAGTAATCCTGGATGAGTGCCTCAGTTCAGCCCAACAACTATTAAAACTGAGCTTCAATTATGTGCGGAGTATTATGCTAGATTAAAAACAAAACGCCCAAAACCAAGTCTGTGCAGATCTCTGCTTCTTAAATGCAGGGAAGAAAAATATTTAGCTTTGATTATACAAACTGCTTAGTTTATTATAAGGAAATCTTGCAATTGCACAGTGGTTGTCACATTAATCCTGAAGAAAGTATCAAACTAGGCCATGGGGAAATTCTGAAAACAGGTCTGTTAAAATGTAAGACAAATTTGTCTGGTGGAACAGAGAACATGATCAACACTCCACTGCAGCTGTTAAATAGCTTCTACTGTATAAGCGCGCGTAGCGGTGAGCTACTTTGGTTTAAGTGACTGTCCGCAGCATATTGATTTAAAAAGGGGTGCTTGTTTATTTTCCTTTTTAAAGTGTATCGTTCAAGCTTACATCCCCCAACCCCACCCTCACCAAGTTCAATGATTATTAACATGAATGAACATCATGGTCATTTAATAGTCACTAAATGAAATGTTAACTTTTCAGTGCAAGTTGAAAAAATTAATTGCAGAGAAAGGAAGATGCCTGAAAAAAATTCCTGAGGATTCTTCAGTATAGTGGTTAAGAAAGTTTGCTGTGGAGTTTGGAGTGGAAACCTACCTAGCTCCCCCAATAACAGTATCGACTTCTACCTCCATAGTTGTTGGGAGGATTTAATGACACCTGTGTTAAGGGCCAGCCAGTGCCTGGCACACAAAAAGTGTACTCCAGTCGCAAGTTCCTGCTATCAATATGCAAAAGAAGGGGGGCCTGGCTCCAAACTGAGGGCCGTCTAAGGTTCCTCAGTGCAGAGAGACACACCATCAGCAAGAAATCTAAGGCAAGTCAAGAAACGAAAGGCTGTTTTTAACTAATACGCTAGAGTTCAGAGTGACAACTCATTTCAGGGCATCTGGTGAACTACACATACATAAGCAACTTTTTTTCAACAGTCCAACATCAAACGGAAGAAGCTGTAAACCGGTGGTAACGCAGAGACAGGGTTTGGACCGCGACTGTCTCCTGCTGAGCGTGTGGGTTCAAAACACTTGCTCCCTCTCTTAACTCCAGGGAAGGCACTCGGCCGCTTTGGCCCCCGTTTTCCTCACCTGGGAAATGAGGCTAACGACAAAAAGTGACCCTTCCAGAGTTACTGTGCGGATGCCTGAGTGCAAGGGCTCGGCACGGGCCCCGTCGCGGCGCACCGCCAGCCCTGCCCCGAGCCCCGAGCCCCGAGCCCCAAGCCCCGAGCCGCGAGCCGGGAGGGGGCTGAGCCGGGAGGGGGGCTGAGCCGGGGGGGGGGCTGAGCCGGGGGGGGCTGAGCCGGGGGCGCTGAGCCGGGGGGGGGGCTGAGCCGGGGGGGGGCTGAGCCGGGGGGGGGCTGAGCCGGAGGGGGGGGCTGAGCCGGGGAGGGGGGCTGAGCCAGGGGGGGGCTGAGCCGGGGGGGGTGCTGAGCCGGGAGGGGGGCTGAGCCGGGAGGGGGGCTGAGCCGCAGAGCGCTGCAGACGGCGCCCGCGGGGCCAGCAGTCGGGCCGCGCCAGTGCGATGCTCGCGACTGCGCAGGCGCCCGGCGCGCTGCGCCTCCCCGGGAGGGTCGGGCAGGTGCGCTGCCCCCACGCCGGTGAGGCCGGCCTCCCTGCACCGCGCGTCCCCGGGCCGCAAGCAGAAGCAACTTTTTAACAGCTTCGCAGGCCGGAGCCTCCCCGGCCGGGCCGCCAGCCCGCCCGCCGTCCACGGCCTCACCTTGCTGGAGGTCCTGGTGGTCGTACCATGGCTCGTCCTCCTTCATCTCGAACTCCTCCACCAGGTTTTCCGCCAGCATCTCGGCCGGTCCTCCCGGGGGCAGCGACCCCCGCCGCCGCGGTTCCACCTCAGCCGCTGCCCCGGGCGCTCCGCCGGCCCCTCCGCCCTCAGCCAGAGCCACCCTCGGGCGGGACGCGCCCTCGGCGCCTGTCCAGAGCCTCCCGCCGGCTCACCTCGCGCCGCCCAACGGCCCCAACGGCCAGCAGCCCGGCGCGAGCGCCCAGCCGGAGCGGCGACCCGGACCCTCACGCCGCAGCCGGGCCCAACGTGGCACTTGGGCAGAGCCCTCCCCGGCCGGGGCTGCGATTCAAACCCGGCGGCTCCTTGGCCAATCGTGAGCGGGCCGCTGGCCGAGCGGCAGCGACATCCTCCAATCGCTTCTCACCGCAGTCCCGCGGGTCGCTCGGTCTCACGGGCAAGCAGCCAATGGAAACTCAGGAGGAAACAAAGAAGGCGGGGAAAAGCGAAGGGGTGCGGCCCGAGCCCCGCCCTTTTCGCTGCCTCGGGTCGCTGTGGGAACCCGCCCCGGGGTTGGAAGTGGCGGCTTCTGCGGCGCCGGCGATGGGGGTCTGGCCAGCGGGACATCTTGCCAGTGGTCAGGCCGCATGGGCGGGAAGGCGAGTCCGGCTTCCAGCGTGACTGGTGGTGTGGGGCGTCCCTCGTGTAGGCGGGGACGTGGAGGGGCCCAGGAACCCGAGGTCACCGTCCCCATCCGATCTCTGGTCTTTAGACTTCCAGATAGGCTCTCCTTGACGCAGGGAAATTAAGGATGGGACGGGAGTTTAGGGCTGCCAGCCGTTTTCTCCTTTACACCTGAGCCCTCACCTCTAACCTTCTGGGAAGTACTCACTCCCCTTAAAACGGAGGGTTCCGGACCCACTTGGTAACCTGGGGGCAGAAGGGGGTGCAGCTGAAGACACCTATTTAGAAAAAAATCTGTAAGCAACTGTGAATACGATTTTTAGAAGGTTCAGAGACCACAACTTGAACCTCTGGGCTCATAACATTGCACCTGGAGAGAAGAGAATGCAGTGTTCTCTTTTAGAGCAGAATGCCAACCAATAGATGTGGAAGGAATAATGGCGTTAGAAGGTAATAATGATAACAAAAGAGAAATGGCAAACTCAGATTTCTTTCTTTTGAATGCAGGTATCCTGAAAGGCAACATGTTACTGACCTACTTTTTATTGATTGCTAGGTTAAAAAAGAAGAAAGCTAGGTCTCATGTAAAGCCTTTGCTTCCCTATTGTTAATATTGTGGTAGAGATATTAATCCAGAGCCAAAAGAAAAGAACTTAAAACCATCTTAATTTCAAAGTAAGTCACTACAGATAGAGCTCTTTGGAAAGAGAGATGATTGGATGTAGGATTTGCTGATGGTGATTTGTATAAGCTGAAGGGCTAGAAGCATGAATCTGACCTTCAAGGGACTCATCTTCTGCAGCCACTGATGTGCAAAATTGAAAGTGCTGGCTTTTTCCCTTATGGCAAATAGCTCCTTTGGACCCCAAATCAAATGGGAAACATTCTTTAACATTCTCCTTCAAAAAGAAAGAAAGATCTGGAGAATTCAAATTATTAATAGTTTAAAATGACAATTAAAAAAGCTACCCTTTCTACCTTTTGGTATTAGTGGGTTCTTTTTTGATCTTTATTGTTAACGGTATTACAGGTGTCCCCCCTTTTATTCCCCAAATTGCCCCCTCCACCAGTGCCCCCCTTTTCCCCCCTTCTCCCCCCTCCCCCACCACCTGGCTCTCACCCCACCCCAGGCTTTGTCTGTGTCCATGGGCAATGCACATGCATATAAATTCTTTGGTTAATCTCTCCCCACCCTGCACCTTAGTGTTTTGTTTTTTACTGTTTATTTTTAAATTAAATTATTTTTGCATTTATCTTCTTTTTGTTGTTGTTTTGTTTATATTTTAAACTTATCTTTATTGTTGAATGTATTACAAATGTCCCCCCTTTTCCCCCCATTGACCCCCTCCTCCCCAATCCCACCCCCTTCCTGCCTTCCCCACACTATTGTCAGTGTCTATTGGTTATGCACATATGCATAGAAGTTCTTTGGTTTATTTCATCCTGTCCTCCGTCCCCCCTTCCTTTTGAGGTTCATCAGTCTAACAACAAATTTGTACTTCTTAATTCCTTCATCTTTTTCACCCATCCCCCCCACCCCATCCCACCTGGCAAGCAACAGAAAGTTCTATGAGTCTGTTTCTGTTTTGCTTGCTCATTTTGTTTGTAGATTCAATTGTTGACAGATATGTATTAATTGCCATTTTATTGTTCATATTTTTGTTCTCCTTCAAGAAAACCCTTCAACATTTCATATAATAACGGTTTGGTGGTGATGAACTCATTTAGCTTTTCCTTGTCTGGGAAACTCTTTATATGGCCATCGATTCTAAATGATAGCTTTGCAGGATAGAGTAATCTTGGTTGTAGGTTCTTGCTTTTCATCACTTTGAATATCTCTTGCCACTCCTTTCTGGCCTGCAAAGTTTTTTTTGAGAAATCAGCTGACAGTCTTATGGGAACTCCCTTGTAGGCAAAGAACTGCTTTTCTCTTGCTGCTTTTAAGATTCTCTCTTTGTGGGCTCCTGGTGTGGGACGGGGACCCCTCACTCCTCAGGGAGGACCTTCCCAGCCAAGGTGTCCTCCTGATTTTTATCCACCACACGTGGGTATGGGACCACCTTGTCTGCCTCCGCCCTCCTACCAGTCTCCATGTGACTGCTTCTTTAATCTCTTAGTTGTAGGACTTCCATTTAGCTCCATGTCAGGCGGTTCTGAATGATGGTTCTGCAGTTTAGCTGTAATTTTGATGTGGTTGTGGGAGGAGCTGAGACCACATTTACCTACCTGCCTTCTTGACTGGAAGTCAGTGGTTTTTTAAAAAATATGTTTTTATTGATTTTTAGAGAGAGGGAGAGAGAGGTAGAAACATCCATGTGAGAGAGAAACATCAATCGGCTGCCTCCTGCACACTCCCCACTGGGGATTGAGGCTGCAACCCGGCCCCAAACAGGAATCCAACCGTGACCTCTCAGTCTGTGAGAGGATGCTCACTGCACTAAGCCACACCGGCCTGACAATAGTGGGTTCTTTTTAAGGACACTATTTAGGGAAAGTTCTTTTGTTTTTTAGTTTGTTTTTTCCTGGAAAAGCTTGAACAAAAACTGCATTGAAGAAAAGATGTTAAGTTCCTAATTTTTTTTTTATTGATTTTAGAGAGAGAAGAAGGGAGAGGGAGAGAGAGATAGAAACATTGATGAGAGAGAACATCAATTGGCCGCCTCCGGCATGCCCCCCACTGGGGATCAGGCCCACAACCTGGGCATGTGCCCTCACCAGGAATTGAACTGGCAACCTCTTGGTGCATGGGTCGATGCTCAACCACTGAGCCACACAGGCCGGGCAAGATGTTAACTTTCAATGCTAAAAACCCTGCCTTGAGGGGTCGCCAGCATTCTTTTGGAATCTACTTAGTCATAGCTTAGAAGTAATCATGAGCAGCCTCTTCAGCAACATAAATATTTGGTTTAGTAGTAGTAGGTTAGTGAATAACAACCCCGGTGGTATTTAGTGCCCTGACCCTAATCATGGCACCATTTTTCTACCTTTTTAAAATTGTATATTTTATTCTTTATTGATTTTAGAGAGAGAGAAAGTGGAAGGAAGAAAGAACTGGAAACATTGATGAGAGAGAACATTAATTGGCTGCCTCCCGCATGCCCCCCACTGGGGATTGGGCCCACAACCTGGGCATGTGCCCTGACCGGGAATCGAACAGGTGACCTTTTGGTGCATGGGTCGATGCCCAACCACTGAGCCACACCGGCTGGGCCATTTTACTATTTTTAAACTCTGTGGTAAAGAGGAACTGGAAGTCCTTTATCCCTGGTTGTAAACATAAAATATTCTTGTTCTGTGTTTTGTTGCTATAGTAATATCAGGTAAGGAGAATCTTTAGATAGCAATGGTGGCTTTACAAAAATTGTATGTAGTGATTTTCAGTTAGATACTTACTGAAATAAGTATTTACTAGGGTGACAATCTAAAGCAAAATATTGATAGTTCTTTTGCAGGTTGAAATAAGGAAGACTTGCCTGGCCAGTGTGGCTCAGTGGTTGAGCATTGACCCATGCACCGAGAGGTCGCCAGTTTGATTCCCAGTCAGGGCACATGCCCAGGTTGTGGGCCCGATCCCCAGTGGAGCATGCGGGAGGCAGCCAATCGATGTTTCCAGTTCTCTCTCCCTCCCACTTCTCTCTCAAATCAACGAAGAATAATATATATGTGTGTGTGTGTGTGTGTGTGTAAAAGAATTTAAGAAATAAGGAAGATTTTTATTTCCTCCTCTCCACATGTATAAACAAAGAGAAATTCAGGCTGTAGAGTTTTCATATTGTTATTAAAACCTTCCATTCACATATTTCAAACAGGATGGGTGCTTATCTCAAATTCTTTTTAGAAAATTGGATCTCAACTCAGCAAGCCTGACCTTTGGAAAATTCTGAATTTCTAAACTCCTGCCTTCTGACGTTGTGATAGACCAGTCGAGAGGGTGTGCCATGCTTTCTGTTGTAGCGTGCCAGAAATGAGCCTGAGGAAAAGAAGACTGTCTAGATTTTGGTGGGCTAAATTTGTATTGTGGCTTTTGGGTTTTCTGACTCCCTTGTTTTGGCGCTCTTAGTAATCCAGTAACCTCTGGCCTTAATCTTTCTTCTGATTTATGCCAAAAGTGACTCCCAAGAGTGAAGTCTGCACCAGGAGTTCCCAGCTTTTAGAACCCTGAGAATTTATCTTGAAAGCCAAAAATGTTGGCTGACGTTCACATAATAGTACTTGTCTATTTTTCGAGTGTTTAAACACTGCATAATGACAAAAACAATTCAGATTTGTATTTTATCATTACAGCAGAATCTACAAATATTACAAACATTATAAGAATACTAGTACACACATGGGCAAAATATTCTTTGTTCACTCTGTAGACAATGCATGTCTGCACCTGGGTTAACAACCCCTTGTGATCATTCGAGGGTCCTACTTCCCATAATGTTCTTGGATCTGCCCAGTGCAAAGTGAAGCTCAGGGACTTTGGTAGTGTGATC